AATAGACCCCCTAAAAGGTTCAAACAAAACAAACCACATTCCCTAAATTGCTCAATCAATCTCCACTGTAAACGTCGCTATACTGGTTACTCGAAGCATCGTCAAGGAAATGGTTTTCCTTCCCCTGAAACTATGAGATCTGAACTCGTTCGTGGCCGCGTATCGTCCGCGAATCCCGTCGAATTAGCTGCGCGATAAAGCATGGTGTTTCGGTGGAGAGTTTCCATTCCGTTCGCATTTGCATGAGCGTTTCCCCTCGTTATCTACGGTCCGAGTCCGATCACGCGAATGACCGTTCTACGCCCCTCCTCCTGTGTCCTCAATCCGACGAGTTGAACGACCGGAGAAAATCCGGGAGCCAAAAGAAAACGCGCGATCTGCCGCGAGGGACATCCCCGATATCCGGGGAATACATTGCGGCCTCTCGAAATGAAATTGTCCTTCCCTATCGTCCATCTGACTCCCTGTTTTATCCTTTCCCATCCCGGCGTTCGCTTTTTTCCTCTCGCTCCTAGCCCACGGCCCTCGACATTCCCCTAATCTCGAAGATTTCTGCGTTCCTTCGGCCCCGTGCCACTATTTCTCCGCGAGATCGGGATTATCAGGAGGTTAAGAAACCGACATCGGTGCGGGAGAATGATTTACGATCTGGCTGCGATCTATGCGGCACACGTGATTGTTGAAAGATGACCCTAGGGCTGAGGAAGTTGGTGTGGGGATAAATCAGGGGGGCCAACAGGTTCTAGGGAATTTTTCTGTTGCGATAAGGAAGTTTATGTGCGATTTTTCGTGGAAATCTATGGTTAAAAAGAATGTCGGTTTTGGGAATTATTCGGAAATTTGCATAGTGAAATGGAAACTTGTGGTATTTCTTAATTGGAATGATTCATTACATTGTTTTGTTGATAAGTGTTTCAAGTTTGTAGTTTATTGTAGTTCATTTTGGTTGAGATTTGTAAGTTAGATATTGTGTTGTTTGTATTCGATATTGTTTATTGGTGGATGAAGGAATAAGCTAATATTTTGATGGGAAAAAGATTTTGGGGGAAGAATTTCTTAAAAGTTCCGAGACTGAAGTGGTTGATGGTTGAATTTGAACGAAATAAATGAAGTTGGAATTTAAATGAGACGATAAACATACAAATTTGCCTATGACCGTTGAAGTTTAAATTTTTATACAAGATTTGGGATTCAAATTTAAATATGATCGTGGAAGTTTTGAAATTCAAATTTAAATCTGATCTTTGGAGTTCGTATTTGCATTTGAGTTTGTTACGCAGTAGTTGCGATACAAATTTAACTGTTGCAGTTTGTGTTCGGTTGTAATCGTTAAAATATGATTTGCCGGTTAAAATTCGGATGTAATCATAACCGTGAAAATTTTATTTCGAAATTCGCTGATGTACGTTCAAAGTTAAATATTACAGTTACGGACTTCGCGCGCAACGATCGAAATTACTATTGACTATCTAAAATTGAAGTTCCACCATTAACGCGTAACTTCGAAATCAATAATTCGAATCTTCGATATTCGAATATCTATTTACACCCAACCTGAAACGTAAATTTCATCGATAAAGCGTTAACTTCAAATTCCAGTAATGTAAAAAATTCTAGTTCAACAGTTCTGTTTCAAACACAAATACCACCCAAAAGTTAAACTCCAATCCAAAATAAAATTCAATTACACTCACGATCACAAATAAATTACAACAATTCAAATTACAAATCACAATATAATCTTAGAACGCAAAATCCAAATTCAACCTCATAACGCCAACAATATCCTCCAACCAATCTAAACAGAAGCCAAAACAAAAGAAAACAAGAAAGAAACAAAGAAATTTCCATCAATAATGAATTCTGCATGATCAATCGAAAGCACAAATGTTTGCACGCGTAAGAATGAAATTCCAAACTCAAAATCCAAATTGAAACTCAAATACCAACATTCTCCTCCAACCCACCAATCTAAGAAACAAAATTTCCGTCTAAACAGAAACCGAGAGAAAAGAACAAAGATATTTTCATGAGAAATGAATTCTCCAGGATCAGTTGAAAGTAGAAACGTTCGCACGCGTAAGAATTTGAGGTGGTACATCGTCCTGGTATCCCGAAGGCGTCGCAAAAAGAGGGTCGAACGGAATCGTAGGAGAATTAATCGAGGGGCCGAGGTGAAATCTGCAAGCGAGCCACGCGCCTCTCCCATCGGGGCGACGTATTATTACGTCGGGAAGGGGGCGAGTCCCGATCCCTCCTATCCCACTTTGGTTGCTGGCTTTTCCGTGCTCGCTAGAACGATCTTCGCGAATTATCTCTGTCCCTCGCGGGAGGGCGGGGGTGGACAACGCCGGTCGTTATCTACGGCAGGCAGTTATTGCCTATTGCGCCGGTGCCCGGCAAAATAGAGAACAGGACTGAATAATTCCCTCGTCATCTTGCCAAGTCCTTTGTATCTCTCTTTAAACCCCGGAAACGCGGCCTGCCGGCCAGGGGTTGCGCGCCCGCCGGGATACAGGGATCATCGGTCTTTGTTGGGGAAACGCGGTCGCCAATTTGGAGGGTGAAATGGAAAGCCCGGGGACCTCGGCTGGAATTGCTAAATCGTTACCCGATCACGGAAGAAGGGGATCGCCGCCTTTGCCCACCTGTTCCGACGCCGGATCCGGAGTGCGTTTTTAATTAAAATATTCGGTATCATCATCTACGTTTTCAACCTACTGCTGACCGATCTTGTTTTGTGATTTTGGTATTTAGATTTATTTTATTGTTTGGTGAGAAATTCTTTGTTCAGTTTAGGTTGAGGATTGATAATAGGAAACTGCCATTTTACTTCTATTATTTTTCTTTCGTTCATGATAATTTTATGAGTTCGGATATTTATTTGGATATTCTTTTGTATTTTTGATAATTGTTCGATATAATCGTTCTATTGTTTCACATCAGATTTAAAATTAATATTGTATCTACAGAATATACTTGCACACCTTCTGTTTCTAATAACTAACTTTATCAAACGAAATTTTGGAGAATGGAATTTTTTTAAACTTCTGTGATCCGCGGATCGAGGATGGAAGTTATCGCTGCTCCTTGGATCCCGCAACATGGCGAACTTTCCGCTTCGAAGTTTGTAAGTTAAATTACTGGAAAAGCAAGTGGCCTATCTTCTTAACAATAGCTCCCGCAGAGCGGACCGGTCGAACGTTGTTATTCGAGGGCGCGGAACTTTGAACCCCTGACCGCCGGAAAGTTCGCGCGTTGTATAATTCGCGCGCTGGTGCAACCACTTTTCTCTTCACCTTTTCCCCATTGCGGCTACGCTTCATGGATCCACGGACGAAGCAATCAAACTTTCGACGCACGAGAGCAAAACACTTCGCGAGGCGAAATTAGAAACAAAAGAATCGATCGAAACACGAATTCGATCGTTCGGTTCCCTTCAGTGTTCTGACGTGCTAAGGGAAATCGTAATTCGAGTTCGTGGAATTTTGTGTTTGGGCATTCGTTGCCAAGCACAGACTCCAATGCGTCGGAGAGAATGAAAACTTTAATGGACAGACTTCAATTAGAGCTTGGGCTACGGAATTTGAAATCTGCCGAGTGTAAATTTATAAATTTGTAATCGTTCAAATTCTAGTTGGAATTTGTATCTTGAATGTGTTATAATTATTCTTATTAGAATATTTAAATTCGAATTAACCTTTTACTAAAGGAAATTTAGCAGAAGGGTAATTGATTTGTCATTGTAAATTCAAGTTCAATTTGTATGTTACATTACTTAATACGTTCGCATTAATTACAGGACTTTAATCGTTAATATACATTCACAATGCTATTCTGCTTCACATTTTCAAACATTCGCAAAAGTAGCCTCGCCTGATTAATCCGAAACACTTTACAATTCAAAAATTGCTTAATATATCCTCTCATCGATTTGAAATTCAAATTGAATTCGAATCGATAGGAATATCGATTTGTTGGAACATTTTCCAGGAAGCAGAAGTAAAATTAATTAAATCGCGCGGAATCCACCCTTCCAGTCTTCTACCTCGAGCGCCGTTACGTAAATACGTAAACGTTGTAGAAAATGGCGCGTAATGAAACGGTCATTGTTCGAAACGCGACGGAAAAATGACAACGGTCGCGCGCTCCTAGGGTCGCACGTGCAGCATCTGCTGAATTACAATAAAAGGAGCAGGGGCGCAAACCTGTTCCCGGATAGGAGATTAAATTAAAAAGCACCGTCCATGGTAGATCGTCACGCGGCCTGGATTCCCCGAAAATTAATAAAAGGGGATAATCAGCGACGGGAAATATGAATCTGTATTTTCGCGCGACTGTCGCGTTAATTAAGTATCGCGTCGAGTCGTCAGCTTAATTATTATGAAATTTTTGGAGGACCAGCGCAGGATTTCCGTAATCCTTGTCCACGTTGTAGAATAATAATAACACGAAATAAGTGCAATTAGCAGAACTATATTCAATTATTTATGATCTGTGCTCGCTCGTCGAGAACACCTCCGTTGCATTTTTACGTGCTGCATTTACTGTTTAAGGTTTTGTATCTTCTTTTGCGTATGTCAAGTGGTATTTAGTATGAATTCAATTACTACTGAATTAATTTCCAACGTGAATCTGATATAATGAAAATAATAGTAGTGTATTTCTTTTACTAATGTATTATGAAAATTGATAAAAAATGATTATAAATCGAGAAGTTGACACGGCCGAAATTCTTAGTGAACAACATTAAATAGCAGCCAATTATTCTACACTCTGTTCGCTTTGATTTAAAACATTGGTAACAGTTCGTAAATTCTTCTGTTCAAAATTACTAATATCGAAAAATCAGTATTTACTTTCTTTTGAAATTCCAAATTATTTTCGGTTTTATTCGTGAAAGGATATCCAAGTAAAACGAAATAAGAGATCAAAGTGGAAAGAAAATTTCAATCTAATGGAGATTGAACGAGATGAAAGTGTCGATGACGTTGTTCTAGAAACGTGGAGGATTACGCGAGGGAGCACACGGAAGCCTCGAGAAACATTCAACAGTACCTGTCGAATCCAATCAACGCTTATCTGCTGGTAAAAAGGCTGACCACCGACTGGAAGCGGGTCGAGGAGCTGATAACCCAGGATGTGGGCAAGTCTTTCGTCACGAATATCACGAGCTCACGGAGCGACCTTAAATTCCCAACTGACGAGGACCTTAATGGCGCGGCCGTCGCCCTGATGAGGCTGCAGGACACTTACAAACTCGAAACTGCACAAGTTGCCAGGGGCGTGCTGAATGGAGTTCAGTACAGCACCGGATTAAGTGGTTCGTAAACATACATCTCCACTTTTCTACCCTTTTGACCAAACCGAAAAGAAAATCAGAATCATAAATCGTAACTTTTAAGTTCTAACAAAATTGAAATTCTCACGATAACAAATTCGAACTCCCACCCAAAGAATTAAGGTTAAATAACATCCAAAGATCACTAAAACAAAAAACTTAACATTAACATTCATCTTCCCTGCAATCTCAGTTACATTATCACAAATTTCACAGAGCTCCAGTTGCCAGAACTTAAAAGTTACGTCCAGAACATCCTACATAAAACTTATAACTTTCACGTTCAAAGGACCAAGCGAGCAACGACATTTCCTTCCCCTAAACTCCCTCTTACATTAACAGCGAAAGAAACAAAAGGAACCAGAACTAGGGGAACGGGGACGTCTTGTTACCTTGTGTTCGGTGTGACTCTCGAAAAAGAAGGGAAGAAAGAGCAGGAAAGAGGTGGGGACGTCGCGGGGGATGCAAAAGCTTTGCATCCAGCGTTGCTTTTTCGTCGTGAATTATTTATGCGGGATTTAAGGGAGGCTGGAACGTTGAGGGGGTGGCAAAACGTTGCGAATCGACAGGAATATTGGCCTCTGCTCCTCTTTCAACCCCCCGCACACCCTTTATTGCCGCTCACCTCCTGCCGATGTTACCTGCGCTTAAAGATCCCCGGTATGAATAATTTACGCGATTTCCTTTATCAGCACCCTGTCCTCGTCCCCACGCGACTCGGACCGTCCTGATTTTGCACGCTTCACGCTGCCGCAGCATTTCGCAACTTCTGATGTCGAGCATCTCCCCTCTGTCTTTTCTTCTATCGCGGTCCCAGTGATTCGCGACAGACTTCGCTTTCGTCCAAAGCAAGAAAGTAATTTTTTTCCGGCTATGTCATTTGGCGATCATTTGAAGGGAGAAGGATTCGGTAAATCTTGAAGAGTGTATGAAGTATTTAACTTTTTGCTTATTGGTCTTCCGAATTGAATAATAGTAGTATTTCATTGGAGAAAATGAAATTGTATTATTTGAGAACATAAAGGGAAAAGTGAGAATTTCTGGTTTTAGTTTGCGTTAGGTTGACCGTTTATTTCATAACTTGTAACTATTGAATTGGAATTTGAATTTTAACAATTAATTTAGAATTTCGATTGCCAAGTGTTTTAGTAGTATTACTCGAGAAAATGAAATAGTGTCTTTCCAGAAGATAAAGCGGCAAAAATAAAAATACAAATTAATGTTTTTAGCTTGTAAATTTGAATTTGAAATGTAACGGTTAATTTAGAATTTCGATTGTCAAGTGTACGTTTGAACGGTCGAGTTCGAAGCTCCAAATTCGAATTCTAACGATGAAAGTTTAACGAGCAAATTTGAGTTTAAAGTTTGAGCGTGAAATTTATATTTAGATTACAACCCTTGCGCCTCGATTCAAGCTGTGTCGGTGCAATTTAAGTTTACATTCTGACTCCATTCGCTCGTTTAATTTGATCTAAAATCCCTATTGAAATATCCGTTTCTCGTTGTTATTAATTCATTGTTATCGAAATAATAAGAAAATCCTCTAGCGAACTAAATGTTACACTCGGATCAAGAGAGTTTCCATCGGACAATCGCGATAAACTGAGACAAAGGGCTCGCGGGTCGCGAGGAGTGCCAGGAAATTCATTAACGAAGCAAGTTCGCTGGGCCAGCGATGGAAAGAAACGCGCTAGGAAGATAACCGAGGCGGTTCCGCAGTTCGGCGCCGCGCCGGTTAGAATATATAATAAGACAGCGAGAGACCTTTCAACTTTCGTTGAAAGTTCGGGATCGGTCGATTCAGTCTGGTCTGTTCGAAAAATCCGGGAGCGTCCGTTCCCGTTTTTCAATTTTAACTTTCAGATTTCTCAACACCGCCCCCGCTACGACGGTTATTACGAATGTAATTATGATAATCGAGTCATGAATTATACAGGGTGGGCTCAGAGTCGCAGAACAATCAAGAACTAGGCGACCGTTCGGGGAAAAATAAAGTCGAAATCGTGGAATAAATTGTTCCCTCGGACGAAGTTCTGTTTTCGCGGACGAGCTCAAAATCCTTATGGACACCAGTTAGATCATGATTCGGATTAATGGAAATTGTTCACCGTTCAAGCCCCACGGATCTTTCCAAACCCCAGTTAAAAACTGCCGTACTTCTTCCGTTCCGAAATTGAATTGCGCTTTTCTATTTTTATATAAAAAAAAATTCTAAATAGTGGAGTTGTTTCATGTTTCAATTCGTACACCGGTAATAACAAAAATAAAAATAACTAATTAGAAGGAACGCGAGTACAGTGCAAATCTCACGTTAGCCAAGCCGACCATAGGTTTAAAAGTGAAGAGGGGCAAGAGGACTTTTCCACTCATAACGTTCGGCTTTCGACGAATTGTCATTATTGGTGCACGCCGAGGCCCATAGGCTTAAAAGTGAAGAGGGGCAAGGGGAATCAATGCTTCACCTCGGCACGTGGACGTCCCGAAACTGAGCCTCTATAACTACCGGACCGAGCGTCATGAGTGGACATTCCCCTTGCCTCTGTGCGCTTTTAAACATAAAGCCGATGGAACTAACGTGAGAGGCGAATAGTACAGTTCGCCAATTCCGAGCTAAGCGGCTATCTTCAAGCTAAGTGGGTAGGAGGCAAGAGGAGACGTCCAATCGCCACGCTTGGCCCGGATTCCCCTTACCTCCTTATCAACTTGGGCGCTATGATCGCCGCTCAGCTCAAAATCGGTGAACCTCTGTTCTGTTCGCCTCCTTTGTCCTGAGCCTCGCTTTGAAGTCTAACAGAGAAGGGAAACAAGGAGAAATGTCCACTCGCGACGCTCAATCCGGTAGTTATGGCGACTCAGTTTCGGTACATCCTTACTATTGGTTGAGTCGCGCAACAAAGAACGCAAGCGAAACGGAATGTGATGAAGTGACGTGCACGAACATTGGCGTCGGATTTCGTTTCTGCGTGGTGGCAGTTTTCTATGTTTACAGAATCCCGAGGATAGGAAGGCTCGACTACTGTTTTCTGGAAGGACCTGAAACGTCCAGGTTCAGAAAAAAAGAAGCGAATAGTAATATTTTTCATTGCATCAAAATAAAAGTGGTTCAAAATGCGTAGAAAATTAAAAACGGATTGGCGTAAATAAAGAACTCATAAATTTATTTAGCGCAATAAAGTTAATACACGTGTTCTAATTGTTTTGCACTATCTGAAAGTACTTGAAATAGCTAATGCATAGAGCCACACAGCAATTATTCCACTGATAAAATGTATCTTTTCTTTTTTTTATGATATACAAGCTACACAACGTTTGCGAGTTTTCTTCGGTGAACTTGTTTCAATGAATATTGGAAAATGTTAATTTGATTTACGAACTGATAGGCTGCCACTTTTAGACAATGTAACGAAGAACCTTGATTGCGCCGTTTGGCACTCAAACGGTTACGATTTCGTACAGTGATCGGAGATTTTGTTTGATTTCGCAGCCAGCGATTGCTTCGAGCTCGGGCGACAGTCTTATCACAACCGTGACTACTATCATACGGTGCTGTGGATGCAGGAAGCCATGGATCGCCTTCAAGAGGAGCAGAATGCTACCACCACTTCGAAGCCGGACATATTGGAATATTTAGCGTTCTCCACGTATATGCAAGGTTTTTATTCCACTTCTTTATGGATATTCCTTGAGTTTATTTCTTCCTCGATATGCGAGGCAATAAGAATTTAAACTCGAACGTTATACTCCGGTTCTGATATGAATTCAAGTTTCGCCGAACATTTAGATTCACGTTTGAATCGGAAACTTTAACGATGAAATATAAATTTAAGCGTCAAACCGTAATATTCGAACGCTGACGATTTAATATGAATTCAATCTCCAAGTTCAAGTGTAAATTTCGTCGGTTGCATTACCTTTTCACGTACCCGTGGGCCTTTAAATTCGGACGTTAACAGGCGAAATTGAAATTCAGTCACCGAACTGGAAACGCGTGTACCGGTTGTAAATGCAACAGGAGACTTTCGGACTCCGTTTTATTCCAAAACTAAAGGGAACGAACGTGTCTGACGAATTATGCAAATGATTTAAGTTTGCAATTTTGTATGCCCAGGAAGTTCGGTCGGCGCTGAATTAAAATAACAATTGTTTGCGGGTTGCTGGCGTCATGCGGGGACAGGGAGGATTTGCGAGCCGGAAACCAGGAAAAAATTCCACAATCCCGTGAAAGTCGCGCATTATAAATTAGACATTAAATTGCTCGCGCTTCCGCAATGTTACTTTTTGACTACGAAATTCAGAGACTAGCCGCACACGCGCGCGCGTTGTACTATTATTGCGTTTTTTCGGCGCATTTTGGGGATGCTGTAAATAAATCTCCGGCCAAGCAATATACAGGAAGTTTTATGGCGAAGAAGCAGAAGATACTTATACAAATTAATAACAGTTATTTTGCGTCGTAACACATGAATATAAAATTGTTAAATTGAAATTCAGATAGTAATCGTTAAATTCAGATTCGAATTGTAAAATGTAAACTGCAATAAAAGTAAAATTCAACTTCTCGCTTTGATACAAAAACTCAGGCTTCGAATTAAACGGTTAGAATTGTCAGTTAAGTTTAGATTTGAATTCGACTGCATAAATGTCGAATTTAAATTTAAATCGTTATTACTATATCCATATTGGTTTCTACGCGTTAAGTACAAATTAGAATCACACTATAAAATTCAAATTTTATAACCGTTATGTTCAAATTCAAATTCTGTAATCGTTGAACTTAAATTCGAAACTTATCCAACTTTATATATAGGAATTCTGTTTATTCTGTTTTAAATCAATCTTCGATCATCAAATTCACTAATGTGTTTTTCATATTTTATTGCAACTTGAAAAGTCAATCTGTTGAAATATAAGATGTTTTCTATTGAAACTATCGACGTTTCAGAGACACTCGAAACATTCAACAAAGCACCAGCCGTGCAAAATAAAGCGCTTGTGAAGCTCTCTCTCTCTCTGTTTCTCACCGCCCGAGAATTTAATTGCCATGAAAATTTCCGTCGCGGACGAGGAAGTTCGTCCAGGCTTCAGTTTGTTTAAAGCTCCATTAAAACTTTCCCCCAAACGCATCGCGTTCCAATTGCTCCAGAAATCTTCGAGATCCAAACCGCTGACGGTTAACCCTTCGGAGACCGTTAAATCACAGAATTGCCCGAGTAGTTGTTTATTAATGTCACCGTTCGCAGTGCACGCGAGTGAATTTCATAGATCGCACACGGTAAAATACCTGTGTTTCCGGTGGCACGTAGAGGGTGGGTGGGTTGTAACACGATTTGCTAATGAAATTTATTCTACTGTATCGCAGGAAATGTAGCTAGGGCTCTAAGCATGACAAACGAGTTGTTGGAGCTAGTGCCGACGCACGAGCGGGCTTTGGGCAACCGTGCATATTACCAAAAGGAGATTCAAAGCAAGGCGCATCAGTCGAAGAAGAAACGCGGCGAAGATGGTCAAGACGACACTGCGATTCCCGAACAAGTGAGACAATGATGAAACGAAAATGAACTTTTGTTTGATTCAATTATGTTTGAACAGTTTTGACGATAAAACTATGGATTCTGAGTTCCATTGAAACTTTGAGAAATTTGAATTCCGTTATCTTATCATATATTGGTATAAAATTTTGAATTGAATTCTGTTTCTTTTTTACAGTATTGTGTTTTTAAATTTTCAAAGTTGTATGTTTTTCTGTTTTACTTAGGATTGTGCGTTTCCTGGGAAACTGTTAAAGATTGACTAATCTTGTAAAGTTTATTTTCAACCCCTATTTTTGTATAAGTACCGGTCTTGAAATCGGAGAATATAAGATGATTTTCAGTTTTCGAAGTTAACAGAACGGAAGGAAAGAGGGGGAAACATAATTAATTTAGTCCATTATTTTGCGTACGTTGCAGAACTTCACAGTGAACGACGAGAAAGTGAAGCCGTGGGAGGAAATGTCGGAGAGGGAGCGTTACGAGATGCTCTGCCGTGGCGAAGTCTCGATCACGCCGGAAATGGAAAAAAATCTGAAGTGTAGCTACGTTGACCGTGGAATCCCGTTCCTGAAGATCGCGCCGTTGAAAGAGGAAGAAGCATACCTGGACCCGAGGATAGTGATCTATCACAACGTGATTTACGACGAGGAGATCGAGACGATCAAGAGACTAGCGCAGCCCAGGGTAACACGCGCACATTTGATATTGATAGCATATTTTTTTTTAAATTATAAAGTTCCTGTGGAATGAACTTGATGTGAGATCTTTTAATACCATTAATATAATCTTTGAAGAAATGGTAGGAATTTCCTAAGTGCCAAAGGTCCATTTAATAATTGGAGAAAACATGTCACGTTGCAGTTCAAACGTGCCACGGTGCAGAACTACAAAACTGGTGCCTTAGAGATAGCGAACTATAGGATTAGTAAGAGCGCGTGGCTGCAGGAGCAGGAGCACAAACACGTGGAGGCAGTGAGCAGACGCGTGGAGCACATGACGAGCTTGACCGTGGACACCGCTGAAGAGTTGCAAGTGGTTAATTATGGTATCGGCGGCCATTATGAGCCGCACTTCGACTTTGCCAGGGTGTGTAAATGATTCTTTTTGTTACACCCTTTAAATAATAATATTTGTATCCCAAGAACGGTGGAAAAGAACTAAAGGTAATCAAATTTTTGTGTTTAGAAAGAAGAAACGAACGCTTTCAAGAGTCTAGGAACTGGTAATCGTATTGCTACAGTTCTGTATTACGTAAGTACTGCACTTTCCAATTCATTAATATTATCTAACTAAATATGCACTTCTGTTTTAGAAGATTCAAAGAATTTTAGGATTGATGATATTAAATGGTTTCAGATGAGCGACGTGGAACAGGGTGGCGGTACCGTTTTCACTGCCATCAACATTTCCCTGTGGCCCAAAAAAGGCAGCGCTGCGTTTTGGTACAACCTGAAGCCTAACGGGGAAGGAGACTTCAGGACCAGACACGCGGCCTGCCCAGTGTTGACTGGATCCAAATGGGGTGCGCAAAACAATTAAGAATAGTTCCAGTTGCTATCAACGTAGATTACTCTATGCTTTGATATTGAATCATTGAATATACCTTTGATTATTTATTTGATTATTGAATATACATTTAAATAATTAACATACCGTTTTATTCCAGTGGCAAACAAATGGTTGCACGAAAGAGGTCAAGAATTCCTGAGGCCCTGTACTCTAGAGAATCAGCCAACAGATGAAACCGATGTCAGGCACTGAATCTACACCGAGACCATGGATCAACACTTTTAGTAGAAATGAACGGAAAGGAGATCAGTCTCCACCTTCTGTTCGAAAAAAGGAAACACCACTATGTTGTAAAATGTATTGAAACGACAAACGAGGACGTTGTTTAACTCTGTCACTGGAACAAGTCCAATACAAATTTAAAACAATGTAATTTATACCGCAACAAGATAACTTTTCTATCGGTTGAACGCGAATAGTAAGAGCAAACATCATCGTCTATCAGTATCTTTTTTTCCTTACCGTGGTCGAGTCGTCAAACTTTTACATAAACCCACGTTTTATTACTTAATCACCCCACAAAGTGATATAAGGCAGACTCTGTAATATTGGTACGAACTTTGCATCTCTGAACGTGAATCATCCTTAGCTCTAGAGTTTTTACAAAAGCACAGCATTTAGGTGTAGCGTGCATTAGGAATTAAAGCAATAAATTGTTGCACGTTTTGGGCCAGTCGATTTGTCTTCACTAGCGGCAGGGCTTCTGTGCTCGCGTTGAACGTGAGGCGAGCGCCGGATCCCTGAACAGTGTGTGATTGAGTTCGGTGCAAGGAGTCGGATGGAAAGAAGCGGAGTCAAGCATTCCTGTGTTCATCATAGAATATTCTAATCGCATCTTCACCGCATCGTTCCTTCTTCTATACGTTTCTCGCCCCCACTTGAACGGGTCCTTTTGTAAATAGTAGTGATGTAATCGAGAGTCGATGATTCCTTGAAGATCTACAGCGTGTTGTATACGAGTCGCTTGTATAAAAGGGAAATAAAAAGAGAAGGAATGACAGGGAGGATTTATCAATGAGAATTGTTGCATCCATGGATGGGGTGTAGAATATATTTTACTGCTAGATTCCAACACCTTAGGAAGCCGATCAAAGCTTACATTGCGAAGGTATCACTCTTTATTCGCTAACTCGGTATGATCACCTTGAGAACTGGACTTGAAGATTGCATAAGAAGTCAATAAATTTATCCTGAACGCGGCGTCCCAAATTAAATACACAATCTTCACTAAAATATGTTCATAAGACACCAATTGTACATGCCATCTACAAATAAGAGCAGTAGAAAGGAGAACTAAGTATAACCCAGGCAGAGAAAATATTAAAAAATTGCTTTGTATAAAATAACAAAATAAAAATATAGTGATCCGGTTTATATTATTGTTAAAGGAACTTAATGCGCAACTTTTGTCTAATTTGAATTCGTATCAAATACGTCATGTGATACAAAGATATTACCTGTAAAATTTGAAATTAGTACAACATCAATGGCGTGTCATCATGTAATCACGTGACCACGCGTCTAACGAACGTTAGAAACGGTTTATCAAATGTTAGATCTATCCTACGCCTGATCCATAGTCACGTCTCTTTACACCGGTGATATTGAACTTAGCAGATAAGACGTTACTCGTGAGCTTCGATGTCCGTTGTCGTTTCGGATAAAAAGAATCTATTGAAACTATCAAGTAGAGGAAAGGAAAAGATATTCAAATATTCGAATAGTACGTACCTTAGATGCCGCTACTGTTATTCTCACCTTCCCCCTCCACCTTGAATCACAGTTCTTCATGCGCGCGAAATTCAAATGTTCTCCTCTTCCATCCTTTGCCGAGTGAAAATTATTACGAAATGTTCACTGCTATTAACCGCGAACATGAAAGGTTAACACCACTTGTTATCTAGTAATACAAGGTCATTCACTAAAAGAACATTTTACCTGTTAATTAAAAAAAAAATGTTCCGCTAAAAATTGTTATGATTATTAATATGATTGGACATCTTCATTGAATAAAGATATTCTATTCATTGATGTGAGTTTCTAATGATCTGGATGTTACAATGATATTGATTCAGTAACACATTTTTTTCTATTCCTTTCTATAACGTATACAGGTAAAAAGTAATTTTCAGTGAATCATCTTATACGAAAGGAACGAACAAATTTTGTACGAACGCGAGCTCAACAATTAAATCCATACGCACTCGAAAGTTTAAGGACTGTTTATTCTCCTTTGTCTAGAAACCTGGAACCTAACAACACGAATCAGCAAAATGTTCACGGTTATGACGGACGAATGTTCAATTTGAAATCAAGTATCGAATAAGAATTACAACAAATTCGCATCTTATGAACGTTTCAACGCAATCTATTACTTATTTCATATTGCGGAACTAATTAATAATAATTAAGGACTTATCGCTGATAAGTACTTATCAACGTGATATTTTTTCAGAATTTCTGATTTTCTTACCAAACACAAATTTGCACGTTACGCGCTCACGAAACAAGTCAAATATGGATGCTCTTTGAAGGAGGAAACATAGCGGGAGGTATCGAGCCCGCTGATTGGCCTAACAGTTACCAACCACAGATGCGAGCCAATCACATTTATTCTCTTTTGACTTCGTACTCAAGCGCACCCTAGTGTCGAAAACAATTGCGGTTGAAACAGTTCAAATTAGTGCCTCCATTTTCGCCGAAACTTTTTCTCTAATAGTTGAATTAACTATACTAAAAACTATGTAACAGAATAGAGAATACCATTACTGTAATTCGGAGGAATACAAAAAGTTTCAAGTGAGTGATTCGATTCTAACGAAGTTCTCGTTCCGTGTTGTTGGTCTCAGAAGTTGATCCCCAAGGAAAGTACTTATCCAACATTATTTATAATGGCACGATACACTTACATCCTCATAGAGATCGTCGTTGGTAAGCACGTTTCACTTGTAACGCATTGTAAAATAATAAACAGGTATTGGCGCGAAATTCGAACGCAACACGAATGTAAATAGTACGTAGAAATCTATACACAATCATATCGTTTCTTTCGACGTTTATTTCACAATTGAACACTATTGATCTGCGTTCTGGTCAAATGAACTTGATCGCGCATTGTTACGGTTCACTGTTATCGCGCGCAACGATCATTGTTTTCACCGCGCGAGCTGACGCAGCCAACTTCACGGCGATTCGTCCGGCTACGAAACTCACTACGTTTCCTACGTAACGTGTAGCTTTTAAGCTCGTTTGTAATGATCATTAATTCATCCTACTAATAAATTATAAGATACTGCCATGTAATAAACGTTTACAAGTCCCATTAATCACTTCCGTTTCAAATATCCGAGATTCAAATTCCTTATTCTATATACAATGTAGCTATATAAATCAGTTTACAAATTCCTCAATGCTACCTATTTGAATATTTCATGAGTTCTACGAGCAAAACTACAATCTCCACTATTTTCAACATTCCCAGCTCATCTCTAGAACTAATCCCCAATCCCTAATCAACAAGAGCAATTTTGTAGAAACAAATTAATTATATGTAAATATTCGGTAAATTATATTTTCCTCTATTATAAAATCATCTCCAGTCAGCCACAGTTCAAATGATCACTGCAGCTCCACCTCTGTTCCTATCATTGGCTGCCAGAACTCGTCGCGCGAACTTCGATATCTACCGGACGGTCTGCCGCGACACGATCGCGACCCGATTGTCCGTGAAATTGACGGCACTTTGCACGGGAAATGACGAGATAAATGACGCCCTTAATCGCCGGCTCCCTCGTCGTCTATCGGGTAGAACCAGTGAACCGAACGTTGCACAGAAGTGTTCTAATGCATGCATAGATCGCAATTTCCTAACGAAACCAAGTTACCGCGTAGACCACGTAACTGTCTTTCTCGGGAAAGACAAAGAGGGAGAGTGAGAGAGGCAGCGACGAGGTACACCCACGGAATAGTCCTCCGGATCGATCCGTATCCGGTCGTCTTCGTCTTTTCCATTGGCGTCCTCTCGCTCCCTCTCCAGAGCAATCTATATTTTCTTGCCCTCCTACGCGATTTCCCCCTTTATCACGGTTCTCTTGCTTGGTCAGACCAACTTCCCTCCTCGCGTTGCTTCTCTTGATCCTCTTTTACCGCTAGGTTTTCTTCCGAGTTTCGTTACTGCACATCTTTATCCGACTTTTCATCTAGTTAGTCTGCGACTCAGGATTTGCCGATTTCAATCAGCTTCCTCTTTTTAGAACGAAAACCGGGTCACCGGGCAGGACATGTCAGATTGGGAAGGTTCTCGAACGCTTCGGGGTTTCCAACTGCGTAATTTGGAGTTGTATGTACCAGTCGATCGTAGGTAATTCGAGGATTTTCGAGTGGATTCGTGGTTCTATGGAATGGCTGGATACAATTAGCGATGGACAAGATTTTTTTTATGATTCGTATTGCTTTTTATTCTTGTATTATTGTTTATATTATTTTTGTATTATTTGTATTTATATTATTTTTTGTATACGGGATTAAGGTATATTGAATTTTATTCGGAATAATTTTAATAGGCGGAGACAATGATTGCAAAAATAGATTTGATATTCCAGTTGAAATGAAGGGAGTTTCCGTGTTTCGTGTTACGGAATTCGGCAACAAAAGGCTTATTTTTCGCTCGCTCTAGTGAATATTTATATGTTCGAAAGTTGTTCGCGACAAAGTTAATATGAGTTTGTAAAGTATACATTAACATCGAGATAGCTTCGAAGATGTTACACGGTTACAATAAATATTTAATTTTGGACATCTTCCTCGATGCCACGTGTTGGGTCAAAGGGTGAGTCACGTGGTCCCCTGGCGTACTTATAGATTCGCCAAAATAGGTTCGGTTGAAATTGGCAATCCCCTGCAAGCTACTTGCGCTTCCTGAAGACTTAATCTCGAATTTTCTCGATGTAAACATCTAATGTATGATTACATCGGATTTTTAAAATTCTTAACATTGCCAGTACATTATTTTTCTCTTAAATTTAGGTCGAGTTTAGGACTAATTTTTTAATAGCCCTCCGACCTCACATCGATACGTACAGAAATGAATGTTAATTCCCAAGCAGAATCCTCTTAAGGCACCCTCATTCTGCTCACATTTAATTCCTTCCCTCCATTGAAAGTTAAATTCGTCCTTGTTTCTCCGCTTCCTTTCTCCACAAATTCCGTCGCGTGGAATATCACCGCAAGACCCTCGAAGCTTAATAACAGAATATTCCACAACTTTTCGACCTTATAATTAGCAATCAGAGTCCCCCGCTGCAGATCCTTTTTTAATAACCGGAGGCAATTAAAGTTGTCCGTCACAGTATCCTCTAATTGCCTAGCCATTCTACGCCAGCAAATACACTTCCGTTACAGTTCCCACGATATTCCTTCGTCCTTACCGTTTTTTGCTCATCCCAGTTTTCAAGGAGCTAAATGCGTTTTCCTGTTTCGTCGTTTTCCCTGGCGCGATTTTCATCGAGCAAACTTTTGTCTTTTCGTCTTCTTGGATCTTCGTTTTCGCATTTTTCCCTTGTCAAAGCAAGCTTCTCGGTTCTGTTTGCGGTGGGATTAAAGTTCCTCCGCGTCCTTCGAGCTCGAGCACGCTTCCCTGTCGAACGCTTTGATCGAAGTACCAACAGCAGCAGTTTTACTTTCCGGGGAAATTTTTTGCGCTTGGTCGCGACAGCATTAATCGTCCTTTCGCTTTCCGCGTCGCTAGAGACCGCGCTCGGAATGCCAACAATAAATCCGCGCGAGAAATGAAGAGATGATTCGATCTCCCGGTGGGCACTTTAATTATTTTTACGGTCGTGTTAAGGACACGACCCGCGTTGCGCAATCCATTACACAATCGACGTTGCGAAACGTTCACCAGTTGCTCCGCAAATCGTCCCTTTAATATCGTTAAACCGAAAGATCTATTTAGCCCGCGAATAATTGCGGATGTTTTAATTGAATCGCGCGGGAGCTTGATTTCATTTGGAAAAACCTAATAGTTCCGATTTGTAAGATTGAATATTCTTAAAAATTCTTTTTACCATTCTTTTCATAAAGATTGTGTTGAAATTTAATATTGAAATGTATGGGGAGAGATATTAATTTACAAGGAGAAATTGGGTCACTCTTGCATTATTCTTGAATCATTTCGTATCGAGGAAGGCGGATTTCGAGCCGGGAATCCTAGGAGATTATCTTTCCTTTGAAAATCATTCAGTGGTGATCGGATTTCGATTGACTGCGGGGACCAACTGTTCCAAGACTCTTCTTTGAACGTGATCAATCCTCTGTCCTGAATAAAATTTTTAATTGAAAGAGACCCGTTCGAGTCCTTATGAACAGAATGAAATCTTTTTCTTAGAAAGATATTTGATTGGATGAACGTTCTAATAAAAAAACGATGTAATCATAGATGAACTAATATTACTCTATACTAAATTTCAGTGTAATTAATTGTTAATTACAGTTTATTCAACACCTAAATTCCTATTCTCGATCAATAATAATTACTAATCGGCAGTTAAGACGTGATTATTTACGCCTGATCAGATTTTATCCTTAAATCTGTCAGTAACATTTCTCCTGGCAGAAAATACCGAAGTCCTGAAAGTGTGTGAATATTTATTGAATACAAAGTAACATTCAACCATAGTGATGCCATCCCGATGGTTTCAAGCGAGTTAGTTAGCCATGCATAGAGTTTGCCGAAGTAAACATGGTCCATGTCGTTGCATCGGGCATAGATGCGCTCCATTGTAGCTTATTAAATTTTTAATCCTACTCTCATGTACCTGTCGTCTATTTTTATAATGCTATTAAAAAAGAGCAAGCAACTTGGGCTTATGAATAATAAATCACAGAAAAATGGGAATAATAACCATCGAATTTCGACATGAAATTGAAGGGAATTATTTAATATTTTTAAATATTATTTGACAAAGTATTTATTATTTAAATATGTGCTTATAAGACTTCTTTAGAGAAAATTAAAAACATAAACAAGTATTGCAATGGTGCGATCGCAAGAATTTACAAAGAACGGAAGCACGTTTCGAAAGGCGTACAAAGGAATTTTTGAAAATTCTTCGAAGAACACTTGAATATCCGATGAGCATCTTGAAGGATATACTTCACGGTGCTCGGAGAGTGTAAGAACATTGCAAAGGATGTTCTGCTGATACTTGAAAAATGCCTCGAATGATATGCGAAGTATGCTTTCAAGTATACTTAAAGAAATTTGCGATACGGATTTTAAAGGGTATTAAAATGACAAGCGATACACGAGGAAGAAACATGGAAAAATATACTGTGTTAAAAGGAAAGGTATTAAAAAACATATCAATGAAAATATTTCAAACGTTGTTCTAACAATTAACACACGTATGTGATTTATATTAGTAAAAATCCCAGGGGTGCGTGCATTTTAGCAAATTTTACACCAGATGCAAGTGTTCTAGATATAAGACGAAAGGAAACAGCCGATGTTTATAAATACCACTCGATCCGGACGATACGATAATTGGACACTCGATCTATTCAATTCCATCGGTGCATGTTGCATCGGTGCATATTGATTCGACCCCCGTGTACTGCAGCCTCTCGCTCACTGAAACCTTGTATATTCCTATATAAAATTATAGTGACGAGCAAAGACAGCTTGTGATCAATAGTGATATAAATGACCCGCCCTCTTTTAATTATGCCCCCGGTACGTTCCGCGGACAAAAGTTCCCGTCCACAATCCGACCGCAACTATTACGTAAACTGTAACACTGACAAATACAACCATTCATTAGAAGCATAATAATAAGACATCTTTATTAAACCGTAGAAAAAAAAAGAAAGCATCACGAACATGAGAAGATGAAAGTATATAAGGGGGTGTAAATGTCAAGGCTCAGCTGCAATTTTACCGTAACTGTTACGCGCTTTTTAGATCCAGTGAAATCTTTTAACTGCAACAAAGATAGAATAATTTAACTGCTTCTATCTACAGAAAAAAATGTTTCGAATCCATATTTCTTCGTACCTAAGTAAATAAATATATTAAAAAATTATCGATAATCTATCAATACTTAAACACATAGAACAG